CGACACGGCGCTCGCCCCGCAGCTCTCTCTCTTTCTCGCGCTCTCTCTGTCCTCCTGCTGCGTCTTTGTGGGTCTTGCAGTAGAGCACGATATGGACGTAGTCAAGCTGTTGCGATTGCTGTCTTTAGGATTACAAAGACCCGTCCTTCAGAAATGCTACGGTGACGCGACAAACTATTTTCCCCGCAAAGTTTTTTTTTTGTTTCTTTTGTCCTGCTTTAATTTTTCGGTCATTCATAAATGCTTCCGATAACCAAACAAATTCTATATTTGACAGAGATGCAAAGGATTCGGATGATTGAAGTTTGTTTGTGTAACTTTCTCCGGGCCATTCCGAAACCTCCGGTTTTGACATCCGCGGGAAATGTTCCACAAAGTCAGGATGTTTTCCCATCAGTTCTTAAGTGCGTTACGTCAGAAGCGGTTTTCATCTTGTAACTCCCCCTCAGACGCTTTTCTTCCCCGACTCTTTCTTATGAAAGAACGACGACTCCCTCATGAAGCGAGTGGAGGCCTGCAGGTCTTTGCCAGGCGCTCTTGGTTCTCTGCTGACCTCTTGGATGACCTCCTGGATGACTTCCTGGACGACTTCCTGGACGACCTCCTGGATGACTTCCTGGACGACCTCCTGGATGACTTCCTGGACGACCTCCTGGATGACTTCCTGGACGACCTCCTGGATGACTTCCTGGATGACTTCCTGGACGACCTCCTGGATGACCTCCTGGATGACTTGCCTGCGTCCTCTTGGTGTCATTTTGCTCCGGCCGTCCAGGCCTGGAACGGTTCGCCGCCGTTCTGTGTTTTCTCTGAATGTAACTGATGTCTCTCATGCCGAACAACCGGCGTCTTTGCAACCCTTTAAAGGCTGACTGATGAAAACAAATGGACCTGTTTAATATCTGCTATTGAGTTATTTTTGATCTGAGGAAGAAGTTAAACACTAAAACATTCACAGCCCTGGCAGATATAGGGTTAAGATTCTCTTTTTATTTTACTTCAATGTCTCTTCTGACTTGACTGAATTTTAATGTATTTGTCTGCTGTCATTTTAATTGAGTTAATCGCAATTAATGACGTTTTAATCAAAAACCCCATGTGGACAAAATATGCCTAATTTTCAATTCAGAATCTATTTTAATTGCTAAATTATTGAATAAATCTACAATTATTTTTGAACCATCATTTAGGTTATTTAGCTTTCAGGTGTTAAAGGAAATGTCTGTGCCGCTACAACATGTTTAGCATTGAGATGCTATTTAAGGCTTGGATAGCCCTGCTAATAGGCTAACTGCTTTTAGGGCAACTTGAACAAAGCAATAGTCTTTTGCACGGCTCCTCACTTTGTTTTTCAAACACAAGCGAGCCTCCAGTGAGCCAAGAGAAAAGGTTTGGTCATCCATTGCTGCAACCATGCAAATTTAAAGTTTCAGAGTGGTATCTCTTTGTATGTAAAAAAAAAAAAAAACAAACAACAAAAAACAAACAAGCAAACAATAAAAACTCCTCAATCACTAAAGACAAATCATGTCAAACATGTGCAAAGTTAGAGACATGGAAAGTTCTGGTCTGCAAATATGAAAAGGATTTTTCATTAGATTTATGGGAGAGCGTCAGGAATTTTCAGCGTGTCGTATCTTAAAACGTTATATTGTTTTATCTTTTACGTGCGTTTCAAACCTGCACACGCTTAAGATGATGGGCTTCTTTTGTTTGTGGAGGCCGGTGAGAGAAACGGCTGAAATGTTGAAGCAGATCCCTCATTGTGGGAAACATTAGCTCCTGCGGGACGGCCGGTCACCTTTCGGATATTTTTTTTCCCCTACCATCCTGCTCTGGTTGCCAAGTGATGATGAGGACCAGGTTGTCTTGACAAAAAAGTTTCTCATTCAAAAAGTTTCTGATGCATGTCTTGTATTGCTTTGGGTTTTCTTTCACATTTTAAAATGTATATTTTTAGTGTGTTATTTTGTATTGAATGCTCTCATTTATAAATTGAAATGCTTTTGTTGTCAGAAAGCTGCAGGTTTGAATCTGTTAGCTTGGAATGATTGGGTCTTAAAGGAACAGTGTTATGTAAAATCGACTTATTTGAGCTTTACATCATGTCTGCGACTGAAATAGAAAACAAACGCTATTAAAATAACATTTTGAGGACTCAAAGAGAGCAAACATACCTGGAGTGTTGCCTTGATTTTCTCATAAATATTTGGCAAATCCTGTAATCTCCACGGCAACCAAGCAGCTGTACAAAATGCCTGGCTGGACCTGGCTTCACCTTCTAGATGCAGCTCCTCCTTGGAGCTGCAGTTTCCAAGCTTCCCCTGCGACTCCCCTTCTCAGCTCCTTCAGACTAGCCAGCAGCAATTAGCAGCAAACACCTGGAACTGCACATCTGCTGAGCTGATTGGAGGAGCTACTTCTCAGTGAAAAACATTAAAGGAGTAAAAGGGGAGCCATGTTGTGATGACTTTCTGAAGGCGGAGCTTCAGAAAGAGCAGGAGTTTTAAAGAGACAGAGGCCCAATGTCAAGATGTTAAATTACAAAGTCAAATTTCTTTTAAGTTGATATATATTGCATTTTTCAGAAACTAAAGTTACTTAACACATAACACTGTCCCTTTAGTACTTTGACATACAGAGGAGTTCACCAAGGACTCAGAGAGCAAACAAGCCCAAATCATCACTCCTCCTCCACCATGCCTCAAACTTAGTTGCAGGTGTTTTTTCGTTTTTCTTTGAGCTTAGACTCTACTTTAGTCTCATCTCTTCAAAGTCTTCTGGTTTATTTTGGTACTTCAAACTTTTCTTGGGGAAAAAAGAGACTTTTTACTTGTTTTGTTTAAATCCAGGGCCGAGCCAGGAAACCAATCCATGTCGTTGACACGTCTTTATTTGTGCTTGTATGTAGAATTTTGAGCCTGTTAGAGACAATTTGAGATCATTGATCTTTTTTTTTTTATTGCACACTTTGAGCTTTGGGTGAATTCGCTTAAGATGTCCAGTAGTCGGAAGATTAGAATAGAGCTAATTTTTGCAGCTTTGAATAATCTTCCTCACTGTAGTGACGGATTTTAAATAGTTTCTGAAGAGCTCTATAATCCGCTCCAAACTGGGTTCCTGTTTTTGCTCCTGTCTCTGCTGAAGTATTCCCCGTTTGGCATTGTGTTAATACAGGACTGTATGAACCTTATTAAACTAACTTCCCAGTCCTAAATTATATTTTATTGCCTTTATGAATAATATTTAACATCATAACTTAGTGTCAGAACAAAAGGTTCGAAACTAGGTGTCAATTTATTACATTTCCTGTAAGACTTTATGCATGAGGCAGACGGCAAAGGGAGGCATTTTAAAGCAGCAGGGAGGTAATTATTGTCATTTATATATTTTATTTTAAATATAGGTCATCATTTAGGTGTGATAAGTGCAGACAAATTAAATCTAATCTTAGCAATTTAATTAGCACAAAGTTTGATTTAACTCTGTTGCTGCGCTTTGCAGTTGCGCTCTATTAAAACGAATTAAGCTTTCGCTGCGTGATTATTTCATCTTTTCTATAATTCATACCATCAATTTTAAATTCAATAAAGCACCGCAAGGAAACGTACTGCTAATATTTGAAGAGTAGGAAATTATATGAGTCGTCTGATGTTTGATGATCTTGTGATAATATTTAGTCACACTTATAATAATACACCCTGAAAGAAGATAATCTGATATCTTTCCATACCAATCTGATAAAAAAAAATTCTATTCCATTGTCTTATGTCTTAAGAGAATAAAATAAGTACATTGTGTGGCTGAGATTCTGTGTCAGTGGCTCATTTTTGGTCTCTGCTTACGTAAAGTCATTTTACTGGCCAATTGTGAATTTCCATTTCAGAACTACTGCCAACAACCATCAAAAATCTCAATTTCTTCCCAGACTCCCTGCTACAATTCGCCATCACTTCTTCACAGAAACAGAGGTGACGTCACACTGTGTGTGTGAGAGGAGTCGGGGTGAAACAGAAATCTTCATGTGTGTTGCTGTCTGTCAGAGCGGGGGATCAAAAGCTAAAAATAATAACAGTAATAAAACAGAGTGGTTTTGCTGTTGAAAGTTCAACCTTCCTGTTATTTGCTGAGGTTTTGCACCTCCTGTAGAACAGCTGACGTTCAGTCTCTGCCTGGTTAGTGGATTTCTGCACCGTTTGTGTTTCCTCTGACTTCATTGTCAAACGCCTCACTGTTCCACATTGAGTTATTTAGTACCAACTTTTATACAGAAGAGTGTTGGTGTTGGTTGGTGTTGGGTCTTTTTTTGCAAACAGATTTCTATTGCAGTGAGGTTGCACTGCTTCTGGAGCACAAGCCCAAGTGACCGTTCATGAAAAACTCAAAATTTAAGGGCTGCCACTCAAGCCAGAGCTCATTTCTCCACCTTAGGGACTGCTAAAAGTTCACAAATTTTTATCCAACCAGACAGATCTCTCTACCCCAAATCGGAGCTGATCCACGGTTTCCTCCCCGTCATCTCTCGGGTGTTCCCGTCCTTCCAAACCTGTCAATCCAGACCTCTGTCAGCACTGAGGTCCATCTCCACTGTAATAGGACCCATAGCTCCATTTATTTCTCCTAGTGTACAGAGAGAAAAAAACAAAAAACAACTGGAGTGCCATGTAAATTTCATGGCATCCTCTGCTGTTGCTTCCAGCAAAGCGGAGAGTGCAAAGAGAGTGAAAAATAGTCCCATACTGAAGTTCTGCTGTGTTACGGCTGAAATATTCATAAGCTCCACTGTAAGCTTGATGTTGTTGTCTACTTAATGTTGCTGCTGAGATGATTGGAAGAAAAGGCTTTTGTTAATGAAGTCAGAAGAGGATTAGGAGTAAACAAGTTGTCAGGGTCAGCGAGGAAGCTAATCAGGAGAGTTTTAATGATGTAATAACTTCCTTTGCTGTGGCAGGAGAGAAGTGTAATTAATTTCTCTGTCCGTGTGTCTTTGTTCTCTTCAGGAACCTGCTGGATCGAGACACGTTCTCCAAGTCTGATCCAAGTAAGCTTCTCCCTGATCTATCTGTTTTCCTAGTCCAACCTACTCACACACACACACACACACACACACACACACACACACACACACACACACACACACACACGCACACACACACACACATTGCCAACAGGTCCTCACAACAGCCTCCAGCAGGTCTTACAAACACATAAAAGCAACCTGCACGCGTACATTTTAGCAGATAAAGTGGTGCCACACGCCAACACGTTTTAACTGAATAAAATCTGGCTGGCATTCACTGTGAATGGACACACATGCACACTCACACACACACACACACACACACACACACACACACACACACACACACACACACACACACACACACACATACGCATTACCCACAGATCCACACTGTTTGGCCTGTGTGAATCAGTGGGCATTTGCATATGTCAGGGGTCGTATTCGTCACTGTTTTCTGCTCTCAATGTGAGTGAGGGAGACCGGATCACCCTCACACACACACGCACGCACACACACACACACACGCACCCATGCTCACCGACCACACTCGCACTGATACACACCTCACTAGCGTGGCTGTTTTAATTTGACTACCAGTCTGGTGTTTTTTTTTAGGTTTTGATCTACACCTTTATTAAGGGTGCATTCACACCAGATGTCTTTAGTTCGTTTTAGTTGAACTCTCGTTTGTTCGCCGAGAAAGTCTGGTTCGTTTGGGGAGGTGTGAATGTAAATCAGACTGAATGTGCTCCGTGTGTCAAAAACGCATCAAAAACTCATCCAACATGTTAAGTCGGACGCTTGATGTTGTGCGTCAAAATCACGCTGGACCCTCGTCTGAGCAGAGCGTGGAGGAGCCTCTTAACTTTTGCCTTTTTGTCGTCTCCTGCTCTCTTTGTACAATGGCGGCTGAGTTCTGGAGAGAGTCGCAGCTTCATTCACTGAGAGCAAGAACATGTCATCATCAGGCTCTTGAGCGAACTGTATAAATTCACAAGACGATTCAAAGGTGTTGTGAATTTGAGTTTCATAAACTGGCTGTGGTTCTGATCAGGGTCTGTTTGAGCGCCATTTTCATCTCACCCGAACCCAGTTTGACGCCCTGCTGACCCTCCTCGGTGTCTCAGTCTCCTAGCAGGACACCAGCCACAGACCACTACATGACATGTGCATGAACATCTATGGGAGTGTCTGCAAAGATTCACATTTTCCAGCGTTGGCTCCTGTGGACATGTGTGACAGAGAACTGCAGCAGCTGAAAATGTGTTAAATGTTGATCCCCAATCAAAGCGAATCCACCGGACTGTCAGTATTAAAAAAACACCCTGAGATCTCAGGTCACAGAAATTGAGATGTTCCATTACTGGCTGACTTGCTTCCCTCAATGTAGAAAACTTTCATCTGAGTCTCAAGCCCTGACACGGAAGGCCGTCATCTGTTTTGCTTCCTTCAACTCGTTCGCAGTCGATTGATTGGCCAACATTTAAATGAACCGTTTTTTGTTGAATGCATAATAAGCCTGCTTGAATTGGATTTCCTTTTTTTTTCACACCCAGTGTTCTGAGGTATGAGACAAAGCCATCTGCCGTTTTGCTTTTGCCCATTTTGACAGCAGAAGATGTGTTTATGTGAGCCCAGTAAATAATATCCCCCAGTCGCTTGGAGCCGTTCTGGTTTTAGGGGTCACAGTCTGTCATTCTGCATACAAGTCAACTGTCCTGAATCTGAATCTGAATTTATTTTATTCATGGAAATTCTCAACTACAACAACAACCAACTAATATGCAATGACTGACATTAGGGTGGTTCAAAGTCCAGATTTTTAATATCTGACCTTTTTTAATTGATTAATGATTAATCAATCACCAAATTAGCTGATGATTATTTCAGCAATCGATTAATCAGAGTCGTTTGAACCCTGCTCTGTAACAATTTGTCTCCTAGTCATACTGTTCTAATTCATATATCATATGAGGTTCCTCACAAACACCTCAGCTCAGTCCTGTTGGAGATTTATCGTAATCCCTCGTTTACATCGCTCACTCCTGCGTTTCTGCTAGCAACCCGGACAGTTCGCTGCCGTCGCTACGATTATCACAGCCGGAGCTGCTGTGGGCTGTGTGGTCGGTTGCTGGCGAAGCCAAAAAGCTGCGGAGCGCCCAAAATTGTGGATTGGACCTTTAAATGTCAGATGGTGGGAAAGGAAAGGAGGATGAGCATCCCTGCCCGCCCCAACGTTTATCCAAGGAGGCACTTGTGCTGCGTCCATGTCTCTGCTCTGCTGACAGCACTGGCCCCAGTCACACAGCATTAGACTGCCTCGACAGAGCCGCGCACACACACACTCACTGCCACAGACACACACACAATCACACACACACACGCATACATCTCAGGCCACCGGCAACCTCACAGTCCTTATTCATATCAGCTTATAAAGCTGAACAGCATTCCAGTGTTTTACTTTTTTACATGTTTGTGGGGGTGTTCAGGCGTGCGTGCACGTGTGTGTGTGTGTTTCATTCCTTGTGTTTGCTTCAGCAGACTGGAAAAGGGCATTAAGGAGACAGGAACCCTGTCAAAGTATGTACCTTCTGTACTGCCTTCATTGTAGCAGTAAATGTAGCCTGGAGTAATCTGGAGTGATCTGGAAAACGAGGGATGAGGTGGAGAACGCACCACTAAGTGTGCCACGCACCTACTGCTGTCTGCAGGTGTCGTTCTTGGCCTTTGTTAGGAATGCAAAGTCGACACCTCAACCAGAGCTTTATATGATGTAAATGTGGTAGCTTGTTGATTCCAAACTGGCTATCAAGCTGTCCAAACCATTCTGACCAAATGCAAGAAAAAAAACAACAATTGTCCATAAAAAATAAATGGGTGTGCCGCACCTACAATTTGCAGTAACTGCTGCATCAGATATTGCAGCCAATGTTGGGTTTTTCCTTACGAACAGCTCAGGCTTCTGGTGTTTGTTTTTTTTTGTTTTGTTTTTTGCTATTGATCCGTTAAGCACTGAATTTCAGTTTTATCTTATTTTTATTGAAAGACATTGAAGTTTAGATGTGGCCTACATGCAACCACCACCACGTTTGATTAAAGGTTCGGGGTTTTTTCTTGTTACTTTTACATCAGACATGATGGAACGCACATGCAGCGCTGCAGCTAACGATTATTTTAGTAATCAAGTATTCTATTTATTATTCTGATGATTGACTACTTGGATATTTCTTTAAATTTCTTTACTTTGGCTTACCTACTACACTGATGGTGCTGTTCTGTCAGCAGTTGCCATGTTTCGAAGTCTGTATTCTCCAGTTGACGAGCATTTCAATAAACGTTAAAATCAAATCAAATCTTATTTGTATAGCACATTTCAGCAGCAGCGCATACACAAGAATAATTGACAGCGCTAAGGCCCTCCTCCTTGTTCTGATTGGTTGTTTCTGGTGGAGTGGAATATTTCTGCAGATGACAGCAGGACTATGGAGGGAAGGCACAGGAGCTCGATTATTTTCCCCCACAGATTATCTGTCTTATGCAGTCAGGACTTAATGGCAATTTTAATTAATATGTAAAAAGAAGCCATTTTTTATTGCAAAAAAAAAAAAAAAAAGACATACTGTGGAATTAAGTGGCCATTGGTCAGCTTGGACAGTCTGACCGGTCTACGGCTGCTCAGCGATCTGTAAGTCAGATGCGCTTCGACTCCCTTCTATCGACAAGCATTAAGACTCTCAACAGCTGCGCTGCTGAAAAGAGCCAGTGACCCCTGACACCTGTGGCCCTGAGTCTGACTGGAACACATTCTGAGATTCATCGTTCATAAACACAGCCAACAAATCATAAAGGTGTTCGTTTGGCTTCCTTTAAATATTCTTACATTTAAAGCTTTTCAGCACATCAGCTTGACAAACTTCCTTTTCATGAGATCTGTCGATTCTTGTTGTGGCTTCATTCCTTTGACCTGTTAAGAACAAGGTCAACCATTTCCCTGTTTTCCATTTTTCTGCATTCACACTGCACACCGGGGCGTTGTTATTTTGTTTTGTTTGCACCAAAGTTATATGTTCAAGGCTGGAGTTTGAAAGGGAAAAAAACAACCAAACTATTTCACGAGTTATTAGTAAAATCCAGAGCATGTCGGCTCATCAGCTCCTGTCTAAAGGATCAAATTTGTTCAAAGGAAAAAAAAATAGAATTAATCAGATCTGATTTTGAGACTGGAGATCATTTTCACTCTCGATCTTCAACAGCTCATAATTCCATGATTAATTCTCTCGTGTCCGTTCATCAGTGTGTAAGCAGCTCATCTATTAACATGTGCATAAATTTGCAATTAATGACTGCTGCAGGTAACGATGATGCACGTTGCCTCGGAAGGTGTTGCCTCTGCAATCAGAACCTCATGTCATGAAATCAAAAGTATTCCTTTTTTTAAAAATTGTTTTTATAAAGTCTTCCAAGTCAGAACCAAAGATAGCGGTAATGTTGAACCGAACGTAAGATGGCAGATACACCCATGCTGGGGTTTGTTCAGATATTTTATAAGAAAACAAGACAAGGACAATCAAAGGTTGCTTTTCTTGGCCTATTAGAGCCGGTCATGACAGCTGGAATGTGTTGGGAGCAGGCAGTCTGCTCTCCTCCCAAAGTATAGGACATCAGGTGGAGTGGGATACACAGACTGATAAATAAAATACGGGTTGTCGTCGGATTTAGTCCTTGTACGCCCTAGAGAGGATAATAAAATGAAATAAGAGCTTTTTGTCCACTGTAAGAGAAGTGTTGAGCTGAACAAGATGGCCGTTAATGTTGAAGCCAACATGGACTGAACGGCTTCGTTCACTTTTCCTCTGCTATTGCTAAAACTCCAGACAGACTACAGCTCTAAAACATCGCTCAGCGTTCTCCTTCTCTTCTGATTGGCCTGGTTGAAATTCAACCAGACTTCACCAAGTCAATGGCAGAAAGTCCAAATGGAACGCTAAAGGGAGATGAGAATCGAGCGGAATTGGCTGCGATTCTATAGAACTGCGTTATTTCCAACCTGACAGGTTCCCTTTATTTTGCCTCATGATCTCACCATAACATCTGCGGAGTCTGCAATAGTCATGCTTGTCAGTGGAAGAAATGAAACAAAGATGAAATAAAAAAAATGTAAAAGATCAACAGGAAAGAAGATTGATGTAGGGTTTCAAAAGTAAAATAGGAGTTCTTTGTCTCAGTTTTTTCCCCTCCTGGATGCATTTTGCCAGGTAACACATGTAGAAGTGTGTCGTCTGGCTGGATTTTCTGACTTAATGTTGGCTGACATGGGGCCCATGTTTGTGAATACCGTAAAGGCTGCTCGAATGCAAATGAAATGTCACATTAGTGACAGCTGATTGCCTGGCTCTGTTCTCTCTCACGGTCCATCCTCAGGAAACACTCACGGACTCTGACGAACGTGGAGTAGTCCCATCAGAACACTGTCCTCCACTCCCCGCCGCTCCATCCCCAACTCCGTGAAATATCACTGTGCTGTGAGGTGGAGTTCCATCTGGATTTAATTAGGACAAGATTCTGTCACGTCAGGATGTGGATAAAGAAGTCCCTGTTGGCTGACCTCAGAGTGTTGTTTCTGTGCTGTTAAATACTCTCGGTTGAATCTAACCCTCTCTTTTTCTCTGCCCTCCTTTGTCTCCTTCTCAACAGTTTGTGTTCTGTACACTCAAGGGATCGCCAACAGAGAGTGGAGAGAGGTGAGCGCAAAGTGAGACGGATGGGGAACGGCTCCCTTTCATACGCTGTAGCAGCATAGAGATTTTTTGAAAGCTGGTAGCGCTGAAACGATTAATCGTGACCACTCATGATTAATTGATTAACCACAATTCATTGATTAATTTCAATAATTGTCAACTAAATTAGTAATTGATGAATTGCAAACTGGAGAAAAAGACCATTTGTTGAAAGAACAACATATTAACTCAAAACTGTACGAGGGACAGATACAGTTTACATTTAAGATTTATTTTTAGCTATTAGCTTTACCCAGTTCAAATTTTGTAAACAACAAAAAAATGTCCTATTAAGCACCTTTTGTTGTCTAACTATTAATAGGACAAGAAAAAAAAGTTAAGCAAAAAAAATAAAAAATTTGGTGTTAAGTCAAGCAGAAGGACCTGAGGTTTTCACGTCAATGTTAAAAGTTTTTTTTTCTGCTGCTGCATCCTTTGCTATGAAATGTTTCACCTTTTTTTTTTTTTAAAAAGGAATCGAAATATTTGTTTATTTACATTTTTCTTTACATTTCCTATATTTGATCAGCATTAGAAATATTTGATGAAAAAGGTTTCAGTTGTCTCCAGAAAGTGGCTAATATTTTTTAGCCAATCATCAGTAAAATTTATTGATGTCATTGAGATGATATTTTAGGCACCAGCAGCCTCCCGACCCATGGATCTTTTAGGCTTGAATAGTTTTGCCTCAGTTGAACAGTCTAACTCCTTTTAGCAGAATTTGCACCAAAAATAGTCATTTCTGACATCCTGTCAGATTGTTTGTTTTTTTGTTTGTTTTTTTTTTATGCAAAAATGAACACAGGTTGTGCATGTGTTGTTTGCAGATATCGCTTGTGCATCAGATTTACAGGGGTACCAGAAACTTGCAAATACAAAGGTTCTGGTTACACTAAAGTCCTTGCCCTAATATTCATAGATCCCTATTTACAACAATATAAATGTAACATAATGCAGAGTTGTGAAAGCTAATTGGTTGATTTGTCTTTCAGTTTGGCAGGACAGAAGTCATAGACAACACCCTCAACCCCGACTTTGTCCGCAAATTCATCGTGGACTACTTCTTCGAGGAGAGGCAGAATCTTCGTTTTGACCTGTGAGTGTCTGCATGTACATGTTTGTGTGCGTGTGTGTGTGTGTGTGTGTGTGTGTGTGTGTGTGTGTGTGTGTGTGTGTGTGTGTGTGTGTGTGTGTGTGTGTGTGTGTGTGTGTGGGCAAAGCCATGGATGAAAGCGCTGCTTTGTGTTGAGCAAATTCGAGTTGCGACTGAAATATTCATAGTTCGCAGGCATGAAAGATGTAAGCCTTCACTCCCCTAAAATAAGGAAAAGTTTTTCTGCCGCTTTTATTTTCATTTAAAGTAAAAGTCAAGACACAAGGCTGGACATAACAGCAAATTTTTGCTACAATTTGAATCTATTTCCAGCTGTTTCTATGTAAAGAAGTGTACTTCAAGACACGTGTGTCATTTGAACTATTACTTATATTGACATTATTTTGTCCTCTTTTAAGGCCCTCTCACATTCCGTGGTGCTAAGAAGTGCATTTTTCCAGCTGAACAGAAACAAAACTGAAGTCATTATTTTTGGACCTAAAGAGGAATGATCTAAGGTCAATGCACAGCTTCAGTTAATACAACTAAAAACTAGCCATCAGGCCCAAAACCTGGGAGTAGTGATGGACTCGGACTTGAACCTTGCGAGCCACATAAAGACGATTACAAAGTCAGCCTTCTATCACCTGAAGAACATCTCCAGGATTAGAGGACTAATGTCTCAGCCAGATCTAGAGAAACTCATTCATGCGTTTATCTTTAGTCGCATTGATTATTGCAACAGTGTCTTCACAGGCCTGTCCAGCAAATCAATCAAACAGCTGCAGCTGATCCAGAAGCTGCTGCTCCTGTTCTCACTAAAATCAGAAAGTTAGAGCACATAACACCAGTTTTAAAGTCCCTCCACTGGCTCCCTGTAGCTCAAAGAATAGACTTTAAAATACTGTTGTTAGTTTACAAATCACTGAACGGTTTAGCACCACAATACATCAAAGATCTGCTGTTGTTGTATCAACCTTCCAGACCTCTCAGGTCTTCTGGTTCTGGTCTGCTCTGCATCCCCAGAACCAGAACCAAGAGAGGAGAAGCAGCTTTCAGCATCTATGCACCAAATATTTGGAACAAACTTCCAGAAAACTGTAAAACAGCGGAAACCCTGACTTCCTTTAAATCTCAACTTAAAACAGACCTGTTTAGAATTGTATTTGAAATGTAATATGTAACAATGTGTTGTTTATTATATGTTGCATGACTTTGTGTTTTTGTGTTTATGATGTAAAGCACTTTGAAATGCCTTGCTGCTGAAATGTGCTATACAAATAAAATTTGATTGATTGATGATTGATAAAAAGCCCTTATGAAAGTAGCAAATTACCATGTTTTTACAGCAGATGCACAAGATTTCTCAGTCTCGAATCCTTTTAGGCCTAAGTGCAGCATTTGACACAGTTGATCATACAATTTTAATTGACTGCCTTGAGCGCCGGGGTCAGCGCCGAGCCTTCCAGAGCTCACCGCTCGGCTGGAACCTGCCACGCTAAAGCAGGTCATTTCTGCGGCTCGCGTGGTGGAAAGCCTCGCCGCCGCTCATTTTGTGACCCCCCCCCACTCCCTTGACCCCCCTGCACAGTCTGTGACTTTCATTTTCATTGGACGTTTTTTGTATGCCGTGCTTTTAATACATTCTCCTAATTATTATTTATTTTTTTTGTACGTTTTAACTGAAGGTCGAGCTTTAATTTTGACACGCCGACTTTATTGATTGCTATTCAACATACCTGGAGCTACAACAATACCGCCTGTATGAAATCAGCATTATTTAAGAAAAAAAACAGAAACTGGATAGGTTCATGAAGTGAGAGCGGCGACATGAATAGGTTTGATGTGTTGGCTGCATTTTCAGCCTGTCGGGTTTCGATTTGACGCCGAGCTCGACGTTAACACGGGATCAGCTAATCTCTGTTTGGACAGGCGGAGAGTCTCATGCTGTAATCCTATTGGCCAATTAAAAAACAAATACATGTAATTTAGCTAAATCTACAGCTGTTGCTGTAAATTAGAGCTTTGTGATGATTTGTGGACAGTGATGCATAAAACATGAGTGTGGTGGAAACGTGTGTACGCTCCTCACGATGAAATGAAATCATGTTTTCAGATGTTTGTTGCGAGTTACTGTTGATTTTTTTTTCTTACTAATTTACATTGAACATCACAAACTAAAGTTTTATATCTGGGAAAAACATGTTTTAGCTTATAAAACATGAAATGACTGCCTTCCAATCCAGGAGCTCCATTTTGTTTTTCCTTGGCTCTGATTGGCTGTGCGCCCCAGAGTGGAAACAGAAAATAAAAATAAATATATGAATATTTATGTGATGCATTCAAAGTGAAGTTTTCGTGCTGGATCACGACTGCATTGTTGCATACGACACTAATTTGCTGTTACTTACATTTATGGATAACATAACAAGACTTTACATAACTGTCAGAAACTTCAAACAGGCTCGCAAACTATTCAGTGTGAAATTGTAGCATCAGTAATGTGATTATGACTGACATGTAGTTAAATGGTTTGGTAATTAATTCATTAGGCTCAGGTTGCTGATCAGCATCACGATGATTCACACTATCCACATCTGACACATGCATTTACGTCAAATCATTCTGCGAAAACATAACCCCGACCTCCTTAATGAAACCGGCTTCCTCACAGAGTTGGCCTGAAACTCTGCGGCTCATGAAATATGGAAAACTCCTGTGTTAGGATCTTGGACTGTCATAAAGCCCCTTGTTGCTTACAGGCTGCAGGAGGTCGTGCCGAAGGTCAAAGAGAGATAGTTAGTTGTTTGATCTTGTGCATGTTTGAATGTCAGAACCTGTGAAAGAAAAGCATGTGGAATCAAATCCGTCATCATTTGCAGCTTTTTGCTACTGCAGAAAAAGCAGAGACAAAGAAACCACGTCTGACTCTGCCTGTAGTTTGTTGTAATATCGCAGAGCCCAAACTTTACTGAAGTTTTTCAAGTTTCCAATTGGACAAACTGTAAGCTTGGCACATTAAAGACGAAGCAAAAGAAACATAATGTGTCTCTGATCTAGGCCTGTCAAAACAAATTTTGCCAGACAATAAATAGTTTGAGAAGATATTGTGATAAATGATAATATTGTTGTTTTGAGACTATTTTCAGTTAATATAATAGTAGTGGTATCATGATAGAAGAATGCGTTTTCAAAGATCAGACTCGTTTTATAAATCTCAATCTGACTTTATCAAACGTGAAAGTTGCTTGTTTGCGGGATCGTCGTGATGCTGAAATTTCAAATGCGATACAGATGCTAAGAAAAATACTCAATACTTTTGTCAGTAGAGCAGCAACGTTTTTAAAGGCACTGGCTTCTTTCCAGTTAAGAGCAAGTCAACAATATTTTTAGCCTTTTTAATTTAGTAAAAGCCAATGAAGTGGGTCCTAATTCAGCTCTTGTTTATGGAAATATGTTTAAAAATGACACTTCCTGGTTTATAAACTTTACACACTGTTGCTGTTATTGCAGTGTCGGTCCCCCAAAAAGGTTTGACAATTTAGACAAATGTGAATTGTTCTGTTTGGATTGATTTTGACAGAAATGAGTGTCTTTGAATAATTTATTTTTCCAGAATCGATTAGATCGAGATATCGACTATTTTGACCAGCATTCTTTTCAGGCTTTGATTAGGACTTCATTTGTAATCAGACTTCCAGACTAAATAAAGTGGCAGAGACTGATAGTGTGCGTGTGCTTGGGTTTGTGTGTGTCCTTGAGGCGTTTTTTCACATGTACTGCGTATATGCCACATTCAAAAATGAGAAAATTGTCCCAAATATAGCACAAATGACTTGTATTTACACACATTTGTGAGACGCTCACGGTGCCCAGACTTCTCGCAGGCTCTCTTATCACAGGACCAGCGCTCGCTCTTGCCCCTGACGCCGTCCTGAGGTCGGGAATGTTGCTTTCACTGTAGCTTCCGCATTACTCCCACCTCTCTCGCCTTTCTGCAGAAGGGTTCCAGTGCCTTCAGGACATCCATACAGGCAGGCAGCACCGAGCTCAACACTAACGCAAACCATCCCACTCCCTCCGCGCACAAAAGCCACAACGCTTTGCATCCTCTCTCCAAGTCTGCAAAATCCTGTTAGTGACTGGCAGTGAGATAAGGAGTCTTTTTTTCCTTATTATTTTTATCATTGTCATTATTCTTGTGTTGCTCACTGAAGCCAGTGAAAGCCCCCGGCTGGATGGTTCTCTAATCAAGTGTGCTAAATTGGACCAGACTAAAAAATTTAAAAAAATAAAACTGAAGGAAAATCCCTGCAAAAGAGAGAAAAAAAATAAAGGAGGGATAGAGATGCATTCACTTTATTTCACTAAAGTAGAAATATGTCTTCTTAGGCAAGTATTAAAAATATGTCCTCATTTGGAACCAGATATTTATAGACATTTATCAAAACAAAACAAAAAGTCTGTTGCAATAAGCAATTAACCACATGATAACTGATAAATGAGCTCAATAATTTCCATTCTAATGACTCATATTTTTTTGAAGGATCATTTTGGTCATAGGCATTTCATGATGCATTTTATTTATGGTTACGGTTGTAGTTTTTTAAAAGTTTATTTCTATTTTAGTCACTGTTTTTGGTTGTTGTATACTTTAGATATCTCCCAGTTCCAGCGTTCTTTACAAAATGAAACTTTATCAGTCTTTGAGAGAGCGAACCTGCATCATTATACCATCATCAATATTTAGACTTAGACTTATTTTGTTGTCATTTGTGAAGTTGGCAATGAGATGTCAATGTTACCAATATCACTATATCATCAACATATTGCTTGAAAAATGATCGTTTATCGCAATAATTACTGAAACAATTTATCGTCCGGAAAAAATTTGTCACCTGCAGAATCTGTAAGTCTGTCCTTTTGCTACGAGAAATCGCTTTCTGTTCTGTGGAGTTATAGAGTGCAATCAGAAGAAGAATGATATTTTTATCTCCCAGATG